CTACAACCACAGTTCCAAGGCAACACCCCCACAGCCTCCGGTTGAGCCAACCTACGAATCCTTTCCACTCACCTCCTCGAACGAAATGAAAGGTACTCCAACATGGATTTATTAAGTGTGCTTCGAAACTCAGTTTTTCTATAATATTTCTATCTCTATCGAGGGATGTGATGTGATGCAGCTTTAAATGTAAGGATATTAAAAAAGAATGAAACCGCTAAGACAAATACTTTCAAGATTCAGGCGACTAACTCGAGCATATTGAAATATACTGCCGCAAAAGGCAGCCATTACAATTTCATACAATATAAAAAATAGAAAATTTGATAATAACAAAAAAGGATTCCAGACGTACCTTCAGCTTAGCGCCGAGAGCCTCTAAGTCTTCAACCAAGCGTTGCCTCTCCACTTTTGCCTGCATCACAGATTGCTCAGCAGCCTCAAGAAGAAAAGTAAATAGTGAAAGTTAGGGCCGAGAATTAACTGATACTAGAGTCAATTAGAGTGAAGTAGAGTAGGATATTATGAAGCAACTTAAATAAAAACTTTGCATTAGAAGCTACATGATGGTGCACAAATCGTAAGGGAAAAAACAATGTCTATCGATTATAAGCATAAAATACGCCTTAGTGATGAAGAAAAGGCAACGTTATTAGTGGCTATCAAAATAGAATAAAGTAACAAAACTTTAATAAGCAAGTGCCTTGGATGCACTCGAAACAGATATTTTCAAACCCTAAAAAATCAACTGTACTGTGAATAACCAATAAGCATCCTTAGGTAAATCCTTAACAGCAAGAAAATGTTGACATAAAAAAACAAAAGAAACTGCTAGCTCAAAATTTCTGGTTGGTTGATTTAAGAGAGATGGAATTTATACCTTTTCCTCCTTGATAATCCTACCCAGAGATAGATATTAAGATATTCAACGCTGTAATCCTCTTCAAGCACACGTCAACTTTAATTAGTCTGATTTCGAATTTGAGTCTAAATTGAATTGACTTTGCAATAGCAATCAGCCACTTGTCAACTAGTAAAAGTAGCTAAGGATATAGGAAATCTATTTTTAGATTGCGCAGCATCGACTCTCACTAAATCATTTGTCGTACTTGAAGAGGACAAGGATTACTTTAATACATTAGACATACTTTAGCTTGCTGCTGAAAGGCAGCTGCATCAGATTGAACCTGATTGACTTGTCCTTGTAGCTGACTGACCATTGCTAGGGCCTCCATGTGCTCGCGTGAAAGACGGGCCTCTTTGGCCTGTTCTGCCTGTTCCAGTTGAATGCGTAATTCTGTCTCGATTTGAGGACGTAGTTGGGCTTCGATTTCGCGAAGATTCTTCTTCATTTCAGCCTTCGACTGCTGTGAAATCTTGCGCTGTGCTGCCAATCGAGACTCAAAAGTCTTGCAAATGAAAAATAAAAATTTAGGTGAGAACAAGAAAGGCTAGGAGGAAAAAAATCGAACCGATCGGAAATGAATTAAGAACCTTAAAGAGTTGTAAGGCTGATGTAGAATTCCTTGAATTCCGATGTAATTAGCAACAAAAGTAGACACTCCAAAAAGGCAGAGAAACTTAGAAATTTACTAGAGTGAAGAATTTATCCCCGTATGATTGGAAATCGTATTTTAGTGCTAATACCGGACCCAGAAATTCAATTTAAGCTTTCTATACGTTTTTGAATAAGAATTTTATCACAAAATATTTTAGTTAAAAAGCCTCGTTAATAAACAATTACATTTCCAAGTTTTTGGGTAGTTTAGTGTAGAGAACTAGCCATACACGCCCCTAGTTGGTAAAAGGCCTAAAAACGCATTTTCAAATAGCAAGCAATGCAATTCATAGACATGAGGTAAGAACCCTCAAATACGACATTTATAAGGACAATGCTACCAACGATACAATTCAAGGAAGCCATATATTAAGATAAAATAGAAAAAAAGAAAAGTTC